ACAAATCCTTCAATATATTGGTGATGGTAGAGAGTTGGGCCGACACTGAATCTTCAACTTCTAACTTGAATATCCCAGATGCCTTCCTTCTAGTTTCAAACCTTAAAGAGGGAAATTGGTAATCATGGCTAGCAATTCGATCAAGAATGCCAAAAGCCTCTTCAGGTGATTTGTCAAGCAAAATGTCATTTGTCCATGCATCTAGCATCATCCTCATGGGTGCATTGGCTCTATTGTAGAACATCACGACTTGAGTCCAGTCGTGGAATCCATGGTTGGTACATTTACGAAGCAATTCTTTGTAGCCGTCCCAATACTCATACATTGACTCGTCATCAGCTTGATGAAAAGATGTTATGGCATTTCGAATATGGCTGTTCATATTGGGCGGATTATGCCGTAGCAAATTTTTTTTGCATAAGTCAGCCCAAGACCTTATCGATCCGGAAGGTAATCCATTGAGCTATGCCCTGGCACGATCTTTCAAAGAATATGGAAATAACTTCAATTTCAGCACATCTTCATACACACCTTGTTGCCGAAAGAAGTCACAAACCTCCAAAAATTCTCGAACATATTTCCTTGCATCCTCATGAAGAGCACCTCCAAACTGTCCAATCAAGTCCAACATGTCAAACATAACCGGTTTGAGCTCGAATTGGGTTGATTGAATCTTGGGAGCTATAATAGCAGGTTTTATGTCATCCAAGGTGGGAGCTAAGTAATCTATAATAGTTTGTAGTCTAGCAGTATTCCCGACATTAGGAATTGTCGTGGCATTTAGAACTGCATGATCCTTCACTTGATTTTGAACAACATGAGCCTCAGGTTCAATATGAAATAATGGTTCTTTGGGTCTTTTATGTGTCATGCGACAACGTAACACCTGAAAAAGGTAAACACAAAAACAAGTAACTATGTACAAAGAAAAGAAATAAAACGGTGCAACAACTAAACTCAACATCGACAATTGTAAATCCCCGGCAACGGCGCCAAAAACTTGTTGCGTATTGTGAGTACTATAAAATTATATGCAAATAATGTGCAAGTATACACAATCGCTCAAGTAATAAAGTGATGAGTGAGTATCGTCTCCACATGGATTGGAATGATCTTGAGTAAAGTTTATGCACTATTCTAAAGTAATTAAGTATAGCTAATGGTATTAACAAATGATTATGTCGAGGCAAATGAAATGTGTATGAGTAACAAAAGGAAATGTCATGGCAAAGGGAAATGGTAAAAATAGCAAATAAATGAAATAACTTGATAATCCTCACACGGGAAACTACTTCGGGAATGAGTGATGGGGAATGATTTAAGGATGCTAAACTTATCTCTCAGGCAGATTTAATCTATCTAAACTTCACTTGCTCGACAGGGTTTTCCTAAAGTGTTCATGCTACTCTAGTCAAAGGAACCTAACAGAATAGGATGACATGGCATATGCTCTCACTCTATGATGTTGGCAGCCTACACTATTGATAAAAACACCCTTTTAGTCTTTGAAATCCTATCCTAGTCTCTCTCGAGTACTAAGGGATTAGGTTATAGTATTCCTAGGCCGGTTCAAAGCCTTTTGAAAATACTATAGCCCATTGCTTATGAGGATCTTGTCTTGTGTTTCTCTCGAATACTACAAGTATTTTAGCTTAGGTTTCTCTCGAACACCTAACCTTCATCTAAGAAATGGACACTCTCATGCCTCTTACAAGCCTAGATGGTGAAGTATTCATAAGCAAAGCAAGCAAATAACCAAGATAAATATAAATCTACCATTAAAATAAAGTTTAAACAACCATTAAAACAACCCCACCAAATAAGGTTAGTTCATGGTGGGGTTCGGATATTCCATGAAATAAAACATGAAAATCATTCGTTCCAAACAACCCACTAAAATAAATGAAAGAAAACAACAAAGGGATGGAGGAAAAAGCCTTCGACATGTGCTATCGGAGCTCCCTTCGGCCACCACGAACCGCCTTAGCTCGCTAGCTCCTCTCGGACGCCTAGCTCGCCACTCCCTCGAGCTTTACCAATGGAGGAACATCAAGAAAAATGGAGGAAGAAAAACGGTGGAGAATATGATAATTTTCTGGGTTTGTAACCTCTCTTTTTTCTTCCACACTCTCTCTCTCTTATGAGGTGTAATATATAATAAAAATATCTAGGGATAATGATGAGGTTGTTGGGTGATATTGGGTGCAAAATACCCCTATACCCCTATAATCACACATTATGTGTGAACCTTATCCTTCAGGTGGCAGTGGTCCTCTGGCAGGCTGTTACAACCATCATTTCACGTGCAAAGCCAGCTATCATCGTACAACTGTATCTTTTTGTCATTTTCTGCACCAGAAATGCCAAGGCATTTCAATCTGCTTCAGCAACGTGTGATGTCACAACATTACTTTCCAGTTCGCCTATTTTGCTTGTTATTTCCTGCACATCACTAAAAACCATACATTTATCCTCATATAGCACCTTAATAAAATAAAATAACACAACACAAAAAATGCAATTATATACAGCTACATACAAATAAAATAACTTATATGTACCCTTAAACAAACAATAACTTTAGAGAAAAAGACCTTAAAAGTAATTCTTTTACGAAGTTATCAAAGGTAGGCCATTACGAGTTTCGGTGATGAAATCTTCATCGGAGAGATCCAGGTTATCAGTATTGTTAGCAGTACTACCAGTCTTCTGGGTGTCTTCAGTAGAAGTCCCGGCAAGGACAGCCGCATAGGATGGTTCATGTGGAGAAGAATCTGCTATTTCTATCTCCGAGTCTTGTTTCTCGAAGGCGTCCGACGGCTTGAGCCAGACTTTCTTAATGGCATCTCGTTGATCCTAAGGATCCAGGGGTTCTCGCTTTCACTCTTCTCCATAAAAAATAATAATAATAATCTTTTGGTAACATAAAATATAAACTTATTGCATGGAGTAAGAAATGTATAAAAATTAAAGACCTCTTAAATGGAGATTTTACACCTAGGTACTAAATTAGGCTTGAAATTTATTATAATTTCACCCTAACTTATCTTTAAATTTATTAAATAAAACTAAAGAAAATTATTTTAAGCTAAAAAGGGAGGGATTTGAATAGGGACGGTTTTCGACCCGACCCAACCCAACCCAATCGGGTCAGGATTTAAAAAAAAACCAGGTTCAGGTCGAGTCGGTTGGGTTTTCTTAAAATGTAATGTTCGGGTTAGATCAAATTCGTATTTTATCTCAAAAGATCAGATCAAATTCAGATCAGACAAACAATATATATTTTTAAGACGAAACCGACCTATGCCTATCCTAGATTTGAACCAAGAGCTCGGAACTATGTTGGCCAGATCTGAAGAAGTGTCAAACTTTCTTATGTTTAGATAAGTGGGGCCATGGCCTCCAATACTTGAGAAACTTATCATTAACCCCTTGAAATATTCAGAAATTTTATTTAGCCCTTAAAAATGTTAAAACACTACTTTATCTTTTTTAAAATTACTAAAATTTTACACCATTATATATTTATAAATTAATTTCTAAATTTTAAAATTTATACGTACAATTTAAATTCTCATAAATAATTCTTTTAAAATATTAATTCCGTTAAAATTTTAAAGCTAATAAAAACATTGATAATATTTACTTAATATATATACACGCACAAACTTCGCTTTTTATTGGTTTTTATTTTAATACTATTTTCTATTTTATAAAATTATAAGTTTTCTATCTTTTTCTATTTTTATATATTTTTAAATATAAATAAAATAAGAGAGATTACAAAGAAAGAAACTAAAATTTTATATTCCTTTTATAATTTTAAATTGATTAAAATTGATCTTTTTAACAATATCACATAATATTTTAAATATCTTGAGTCTCGTATTTTATTTTAAAAATAATTTACTCAATATTTTAAGAGTTTTTTTTACAATTTAAGTGTCAAAATTTACTACTAAGTTTTTTTATTTTATTTTTACAAAAAATCCTAATAAAATTTTAAAAAATATGTTGTAAATTTATATTTATTTTATAAAATCATATATAAATATATATGATTTAATGAATAAAATAAATATTTAAATCAATTTCAACAATTAGTATCTCTGAATAAAATACTGGGTAAACTACAATTTTAGTACCTCAACTGTCATTTATGTTCTATTTTGATCATCCAATTATTTTCTTTCTCAAGATTATACTTAACGTTATGTTTTAATTTCATTTTGGTCGTCCATCATTAAAATTTAATAGAACTATTGACGTGATACTTTTTGTTTTTTCAATGATGATATGAAAATGCCCTATGGTGACACATCATTAAAATTGTTAATTTTTTAAACGATAGATTATCAAAATGAAACCAAAAATAAATGTTAAATATATCTAAACAAAACAAAATAAAGTGATAATTCAAATATTAAATATCTGAGTTATTTTAGGATAATAAAAACTACCAAAATCTTTAAAAACTAAGTATCAATTAAAAAAAATATTCGTTATCTTAAATAATTCTCTCTCTCTCTCTCTAAAAAAAACAATCCTTCCAGGAAATTACGTTTTTTTTAATAAAAAAAAACAGCCCTTCCCTAAAATTAATTTACATTATCTTAAAAAAATATTAAACTGAAATTAAAAATAATTAATTTTAAATTGAAGTCACAGAGTCCCAATCTGACCACTCCACCTGCAAATCTAATCACTTTCGTCATCTAAAACTACAAGCAGCCGTCATTTCCGCTTTTACCCCTCAAACTCACCTTTCGGTCAAATTGTTAAATATTAAAATAAAATCCTCAAAGTCGAATTAAATTAGAAGAGTGGGAATCCAAAATCGACAAGGCAGACGGTGTCGTTTCTGAGTCTTAAAAGAAACCTCCTATTTAAAGCCCAACCTCCATCCTCAATCATCAGCTTGCTGATGGCGGTTTCGTTGTTGCATATTTTCATCGTCAGATTTCTTCATATATAAATTCATCAGTTTTACTTGTTTCTGGAAGGACTCTGAGGAAAAGAAGAATTTTGAGAGAGAGAGAGAGAGAGGAGAGATGGGGTTCATTGTCGAAGGAGAGGACAGTGGCGACGTCGTTTTGGAGCCGCCTCCCAATTTTTCGATGGTGGAAGAAGGCATTTTCAGATCCAGTTTCCCTCAACCCTCCCATTTCGCCTTCTTGGAAACCCTAAGCCTTCGATCCGTCATGTATGCTTAAATCGGATTGAATTGGATTTCTTACGCCTCGCATTCTTGATGCCTTATTTACCTATTATTTTCACTTTTTTGCATGTTTATGTGTAAAACGATTCTTCTTTTTGCCTTCTTGGTTGCCAAGAAAAAGGGAAATTGGGTATAAAGGGCAGTTTGGAAGGATTATATTGTTAATTTCTGACATAGCGTGTTATTTTTATTGCTCTGAATTATAATGAAATTGAACTTTCACTGTTAATGCCATTTTATGGACTGAGAATTTACTCTCTCTCTTTTTTCATGCGAGCAGATATTTGTGTCCAGAGCCCTATCCAGAGGAAAATTTGGAATTTATTCGATCCCATAATATCCGGCTTTTCCAGTTCGGAATTGAGGGGAAAACGGTACTCTTTTGCCTACGCTCACTTCTCTGCTTTTACCGCTATTCATTATACTAAATTGTGGCTGTAGGAGTAACGGCGTGCTTTGTTTCCTAAAAGTAACTATGATTTTATATTGCCGTTGTGGCATCTTAGGTGATGCGACCACAATTTAATATTATGCTGCTAATTGAAAAGCTTTTTGCATGCTGAACAATGCATGTATATAACTTTCGAATTTGAGTTGTTTGCATCTTTCAATAGATGAATTTGAATTCGAAAAGTTTCTTCTTTTTTCAAAAGAAACTTGTAGAATTATCAAAATTTCATCAGTTATTGGTCAAGGTTTTTGAGTTATGAGTTGCTCTCCGCAACATATTGAAAATTTGGTCAAAATTATATTTCATTTAGTTCTTTGACTTTTACTAGGCGATAACGATTCATCTACCTGCTGGTCAAGAAGAATATCGTTCCATATGGATAAATCGTAAATGAATGAAGAAAGTCAACTGTATCTTATCTAATAATTGAATACACGATATATATATATATATATATATATATATATTTAGCCGTATTTTTTTACTCCTAATAGCGAATTTGCTTCTGGTTCTGTTTTGGCTTACATCATTGTTTATCTTCATTTCAGGAGCCTTCTCTTGCTACACTCAGGGATGCCATCAGAGGAGCTCTCAAGATCTTAATTGGTATCGATTTCATAAACTATGGAGTTCACTCTCTTAGTTTCGTATTTTTTCTTTTACCAGTATGTTTTAAGTGTATGGATATCTGACACGTTTATATAATTCGTGTACAGATGTGAGAAATCATCCTATTTTGATCCATTGCAAACGGGGAAAGGTAATACTCCAAATTCAGCAATTACTTGTGCTCCCTTTAGATTATAGCTTTACTTGTGGAACTGGATTTATGAAGGATTGGTTGATTTTTGAATTTCTCATATATATGGTACATTAGTGTGGTAAGACATGGTTTTCGTATAAAGGTCCTTATATGATAAGATACTACTATATATATGTATATATTGATATATGAAGATTTTTCTATTATTGATATATGAGTTTTGTTTGGACATAGGAACTAATTTGGCAGATAGTTTTAAGGGTACAAGTAATTTATTGGGTTTAAAATTGAGAAATTTTTTTTCCCTTTTGATTTTATTTTTAAATAATGCAGCATCGTACGGGTAGCCTAGTTGGTTGCTTGAGGAAATTGCAGAATTGGTGCATGCCATCAGTATTCGAGGAGTATCAACATTTTGCCGGAATCAAAACCAGGAGTGCTGATTTGAGATTTATAGAGACATTTGACATCATATGCCTGAGGCAGTGTCTTCACAGCATCATTTACCAGTACCAAGGATATGGTTCGAAGAAGAGGCGGTTGCTTTATGGCGAAGAGAGTGTACAGAAACCTCAGATTACTTCGATTTAAAGAGAGGATTCATCGGCACGTCAACAGAAAGGATTTCACACTTGGTTTAAGAAAGCATTTTTTTTCTTGTCTAAAGTTGCTACCTGAAATTAGTTTTTGCAATTTGGTCCCCAGAAACCCATTGTGAAAAAGCACATGTGTTTTGTTGGAGTACTTATTTCCAATTGGGACATTAGCTGCAATCGTATTATACATACATACATACATATGAGGAGAAGCATAATATTGAAATAGGTTCTGTGCATATGTTATTCGCATTTACTGAAATTTTACACCCAAAGAAGGATCAATGAAGAAATTGATCTCTCCCTCTATGGTGTACTTTGCAAGAGAGAATAAATTTCAATCATTAGCTATTAATTATATTTGTCTTCTTTTTCTCCTTTTCTTTCGGAATTTAATGGTTCAAAAGGTTTCGAGAATGCAACACAACTACATATTAATATTTAAAAAATGAAGCTCTAGTCTGAAAATTTTGGATCCAAGGGATTGAATTCTGAGTTCAATAATGTGTTTTATCAGTACATGATGAGCTTAGTCGATTTGGTTAAAACATCTTCTGGTTATATCACAATCACATTATCTAATATATATTATTTTTTATTTAACAAAATAAATACCTAAATTTATCACTTTGATCAAAATAGGGTATATTATTATTTTCATTTAAGTACCTGAAGTATTTTTTAATTGAGGTAATGTATTGAGTACTTTAGGTATTTATTCTCACCAAACAAATATTGTATGTATTCATTGTGATCAAAATATTAATTTTAAGAATTTATTTGAACTTTAATTACTTAGATGAAAAGATGATAATATTTAGGATATAAGCCCTCAACTAATGATAAAATCAAAATTGTGATCGAGGTCTTAGAAATGGCCACACTTTTATTCTGATAGCATTAAAAAAACATTTTTGATTAATAATGTTGGATATTGTGTTAATCTTGTTTTAATGATTTTCATGTAAATGGTAATCTTCTTAATGAAAATGCTATAGAATTTTAGTTTTCTCTATTAACAAAATAAGCTTTAATCTTCTAGAGTTTCAGATTAGAATCCATAAAATACTCTTTAATGGTAAAAAAACGATTTCTTATTAAATAAAGGGTAAACTACTATACAAATGGTCACTAATATTTGAGTAAGTTTTCGTTTTCCTCATTGAAGTTTTAAAAGCAATAAATTGATCACTAACTTTATCGATTTGTAATAAATTAATCACAATGTGACGGAAAACTGAGTTGGAATTGGCGTTGACCACCGACCACCTCTTTGACCTTAAATAGAAACCCAATCTGATTCTATTCATTTTTATTTTAACTCAATATTTCCACATTCAACACTGCACTTTAAGTCATCTTCAAGATCCAAAACCCCATGGACACTCTCTCCTTTTTTAACTCCTTCACATGCTCTCCTCTACCAGTGCATCGCTTCTCCTCATCGACAGAACAGTACTATCCAAGTACAAAGAATAGGTCTCTTGAAGTCAAAGAAAAGAAAAAGTGCTCCAGTGAATTGTGTCTGGTTCATATACACAAAATGGAAACATTCTGATGTTGACAAGGTAAACGATAAGAGCATAACAAGAAATAAAGGTGTCCATTTTATAGCTATGAAGGTGTCGTGGAGCCAATACCTGCACAAAATATTGGCTTGAAGAATCTATGGGCTAGTTGAGTTCAAAAGATTTTTGACGATAATTCAAGCTTTGCGAGAAAAGACTAGTATATTATTTAAGCATAAAACACTTGTGATCTTCTCAAAGCTGAGACTAATGCTCAAAAAAGTAGCAAAGCTCTAAAGATTGAAACAGTAGATCCTCTTAGGAAGAAGAGCAGTCAAGCTACGTTGCATGAGCAAGACAATATGAAATTGCCTCATGCCAAGAAACATACCTCTTCAAATAAATCAAAAGGAAGTCACGGTCAAGGCAATCTAGCTGCTGAGGTACCTCTTCTTGATGATGAAAAATAAGAAGATTCCTCATGCGAACAATAATACAAACAATTAGATTGAGATTTGAGTTTGGAAGCTGCAAAGGATATCGAGAGCGGAATCCAGCACTCAATTTTCATTCATTAAGTTCTAGAAAAACCCAGGACTCTTTCACGGCTACTACTTTCAATTGAGATCCAGAAGTTGGAATCTCCATTCCTTCTCCTCCTCGAAATCCTTCCCCGGGTAGTGTTCACTTATTTATCTATTTCTATGATTTTCAATCTTGCTCTCGTGTGTTTGCTTTTGTTATTTGTTATCTGCTTTTTTTCAATCTAGATGCATCTCGCTTAGCTTAGCTTAGCTTATCTGTTTCTTCTTAATCCCATCAACACTTTCATTTCAGTTGTGGTGGTAGAGACAGTGAAGATGAAAGAGAAAGAGTGAACTTTTAGCAATGATATAAAAAAAATTAACTAACGTGACTCATCACCATTCTATTACTTATGCTATTGATGACGAGTGACCAAATTATTATAAATTAATAATTTTAGTGAACGGTTTGTTACTTTTAAAATTTTAGAAAATTTACTGAAATATTATTGATTATTTATGTAATTTACTCTTAAATAAATGATTTTGTATCTACATATAACAATCGATTTTCTTAAAAATAGTAAAAAGAATAAAATAATGATTTCAATAATTATAAAAATAAAAGATATAATATTAATCTGTTTTATGTGCAATTAAATAATTTTAATAATTTAATTACCAAAAAAAATTATAACACACTAATATCAGTACAACCAACTAAAACTAAACAACTTGTGTATCTTTGTGCAGCACGCCTAAGACCGCATCCGGGGCATTGTAAACTCCACACACTCCGGTTGATTCCTTTCAGCGATCGACGCCAGACAATCCGCGACACGATTACCTTGGCGAGGCACGTGTTGAACTCGAACTACCCAGTCCCATTTCAAAACTTCAGCAATGTGCTGCAATAGAGTGACCCGAACCGTACCCACACCATGCTTCTGCACAACCATGACAGCCTCCAAGCTATCAGATTCCAAGATAACCTATCTCGTACCTAGCTTCCAAGCAAATTTGAGACCTAAATACATCATTTCCCATAGTTCAGCTTCAAAGACCGAGCAATTGCCAAAGAATCTTGAAAATCCTACCTGTCATGCACCAATATCATTCCGAGCCACGCCTCCACAAGCAGCGGCTCCAGTCTCCTTATGTCTTGACCCATCCGTATTTACCTTAATCCATCCCACCGAAGGAGGCAACCAACGAGGCGATCGACTTTCCCGTATCATCCCTGTTGTCTTACAAATCCTCTCCTTCTCCATTATTCGAACCATAATGTCAAACCTTTGTCTACTCCGATCTAGCACTGTCCTTGTATCTGTCATCAGATTATCAAAAGCAATCGCATTCCGATGAAGCCAAAGATTCCAAATAAAAGATCCCAATGCTCGACATTCCCATCGATGCCTTTCAGATTAGCTAGATTTCCGGTTATCTAATCCTTCAAATCTATGTTTAAAAAACTAGATAACCGAACCTGCCGCACTATCACACTCCAAACAGTCCGGGCGGATGCACATAGCCTGAGCAGATGATTCACGTCTTCTTCCGGTGCCGCACATAAAGGAAAAGACCTATCAACCGTAAAATGTCTCCACTTTCTTTCCGCATTCACCAAGACTCTATCGCAGCCCACAAGCCAAAGAATAATATATGGTGGCCCTCGATACTTCAAAACCATCGACCAAAATGGATCACCATCAACAGGCTTAGAGTTGCTTTGTATATCATACGCTGACTTCAAAGTAAAACAACGATCAACCCTTGGTCGCCAACCAATTGCATCCGTTGGGAAATGCGACTTTGGTCCCATTTTCGCAGCTATACGCATCAGAATATGGGACGGAAGCATATCCTCAAACAGACCCCAATGCCATTGGCCCTGATCATCAACCATGTCAGCAATTGTCACCCATTGCATCCCGATCGCTCCAGCCGTCAAAACATGATTTATTAGTGGCCCGTATTCATCTAACCAATCATCAAACCAGAAGTCCACCTCTCGGCCATTACGAATACACCAAGTTACATTCTATCGAACATCCTCCCAAATATAAGACAATCCCTTCCAAAGCCTAGAACATCTCGCACGAGCTATGTCATTCGGAATGCCATCCCCACACTTGTATTTTGCCGGAGAGATTGGACCCAAAGTCTATCCTTTTTGGCCAAAATATGGAAAGCAAGTTTCATTAAAAACGCATCATTCTGATCCTTTAACCTTCGAATTCCAAGGCCACCAGATTTAACCGGTTGACATACCACCTCCCAAGGAACTAAATTAACACCTCCATTGTCCCCTTCATTTTCCCATATGAATCGTCTGATAAGTGCTTCTATCTTATCGCAAATCTTCCGGGGCAAAACTTTCGATTGCGTCATGTAAATTGGTAGCGCGTTAAAACAGATTTAGCGAGAGTAACCCTTCCAGCAAAGGTAAGAGTTCGCATCTTCCATCCATTCAATCTGTCACAAACCAATTGAACTAAATACTGACAGGTCGCGGTAGAGACTCGTTTATGTAACAATGGCACTCCAAGATATTTCCCCAAGTCTGTCACCTCTTGAAAACCCATATCTGAGCAAATTTGATTGTAAATATGCGAACACACATTCTTAGAAAAGAATATATTAGTCTTGGAAGCACTTACTTTGTCTCGATGCCTCACAAAACTTCGAAAGCACTTCCATAATAACCTTGCCCTGCTCCGTAGTAGCTTCCCCAAAGAGGACCGTATCATCCGCAAACATCAAATGTGATATACCTGGCCCAGAAGGTGAAGTCTGGAATGTCTTCCAATAACCAGTCGTAACCTCCACTTGAATTGCTTACGCCAACCGTTCAAGGCAAAGCACAAACAAGTAAGGTGACAGAAGATCACCCTGTCGTAACCCTCTAGTTGGCCGAACCTCCTCCGAGATCTCCCAATTCCACAAAATATTAGTACGAACAGATGTGATACATCGCATAATCAAATTAATCAAAGCTATCGGAATACCCAGATCTTGTAGAGTATCTTCCAAAAAATTCCATTCCAACCTATCGTAAGCCTTCTTCGGATCTATCTTTATCATCGTCCATCCTGTCAATCCCCTTTTCCATTTCATAGAGTGAATTACCTTCTGTGAAATGATTATGTTATCCATAATGGACCTCCCTGGGAAAAAACTTGTTTGATTCTCAGCCACTCACTTTGGTAAGAAGGGCTTTAACCGATTTACTATAGCTTTAGTTATGGCTTTGTATACAACACTACAAAGGCTAATCGGTCGAAACTGACTAATCAATTTCGGTACCTGCACTTTGGGGATCAATACGAGCAATGTTTGGTTTAAATCAGGATGCCAGTGTTCATTCTCAAAAACTTGCTGAATAAATCGACGTACTGTTCCACCCACAATCGACCAATTCTTCTGAAAAAGACTGCATGTAATCCATCCCTGCCAGGAGCTTTCAATGGTGACATAAAAAAACATCGTCTTAATCTCCTCATCTGAAAAAGGAACTGTCAAGACATCCAATTAAGGAATACACGAAAATCGACCCCGAGGGTACACAACCACGGTTCGTTGTTCACTGGAAAACAAACCCTGATAAAATCTTACCATCATCGCTTGAAGCTCATCATCAACTGTACTTCACTCCCCACTTTCCAAACGAAGTTCCGAGATCCTATTACAACATCGTCTCACCATAACTGACACGTCAAAATACTTCGCATTTCTATCACCATGGATTATCCAGTCAGAACAAGCTTTTTGTCTCCATAAACCCTCCTCTTGATCCAGAACCCCTTCTAACTCAGCTCGTAAGTCTTGCTCAAGAGCACAAAGAAATTTCGAATTTGTTCCGCCAAAGCTCGCGCAATACCACGGATTCAATTTATCAAAATCCGCTTCCTCCTTCTAATATGTCCAAACACTTCCATATTCTACGTCCTCACCTCTGTCATAAAATTTTCAAAATTAGTACAAGACTATTGGTCTCATTCCACTGCGCTCGTAAAAATCTTGGAAAGAATGGTGATCATTCCAAGCAACAAGATATCGAAACGGTTTGACTCGAATCACATTAACTTCCTCCTCTGATTTGAAAAAAATTGGCCTATGATATGATCCCAATCGGTGCAGATGCATCACCTGGAAAATGGAAAATGCACAGAACTTGCCATTAACAAGGAGTTGATCCAGTCGTTCGTGAAGATTACCTCGAGACCAAGTGAACGGTGGTCCAGTATATCCCAAATCCACCAAATCAACCGCAAAAATAAAATCTTGCAAAGCTAAACTGCCATGCCGCACCCTTCGACTACCATCATTCTGCTCGTGCACATGAAGAATCGAATTGAGATCCCCTCCTAAAATCCACGGTTGGTCTGGTCCAGGATCCAAGGATAAGAGTAAGGGCCACAAATGCTGTCGGATAGTCTGGTTCGGGCTAGCGTAGACAGCCGTCATGAACACCCATTCATTCTCATCTACCCCACGAACCTGACCATGAACAAATTGATTCGACACCGTCATTATTTCAAATTCCAACGTATCATCCCACATAACCCAAACTCCGCCACTAAATCCATGAGCTTCAATACGAAAAAAGTGAGGAAATTAGAGTTGAGTGCTAATCGGATCAATTGTCCTACCATGAATACGAGGTTGAAATAATGTCAGAATATTAGGTCTAAACTCCCGAGTAAAAGTTCGAAAGACTCGTTGAAACCTGGGGCTTGTCGCCCCCTAAAAATTCTAAAACATACAATTCATAATGAATATCAATAAAATAAAATTCCGGTAATACTATCAGACCAGGTTCTGCTGCTCTGACTCATCCATCTCATCATTCTCTTCCATCAGCTCATTGTCGCTAACTAATTCCGCGTCTATAAGTCTAACATCAATCTACGCTTGCAACTGCGAATCAGTGGCTTGTCCTTCCTCGACAATCTATTGTGTTAAATTATCCACCCATTCACTGGCCTTAGTCCAATCCACACTATCTCGACCACCCTGTCGTAAATAAATGTCGTATATCGTCCATAGACCCTCCGTGAGAACTTTCACATAGTCATTTCCATTGTTAAACTTCACCAAATAATAATTATTATCTAAGTCAACTAATTGAATATCTCCCAACGATTTCCATAGTGCCATCAACCTGTTCATTAACGCCTTATGACTGATCGTTTTATCAAGCAGCCTAACAATGAGCACGTGTTCCATGCATTGATCGATTTTCTTATGCACTCTCTCCAAAAACCTAATTGTCGTTATGGGACTCGTCTCATCGACCACACAATCCTCATCTAACACCCCTACATCATCTGTGTATCAGCAAACAGTTGTAGGGATTTATCAAGCTTCGATTGTCCACTCACCATATGAGCATATGACGATTTCACAACACCCAGTTCACCCTGTCCAGGTAGATTTGGAACACCTTCCCTCTGCTCCTCCACCATCTCTGTCGAAATATCAGTGTCCATGACGACATCACCGTCTCCAATAATATGAGCAGGCATCTCACTATTATTACGTAGCTTTTTGATCTCCCTATCGTCAACAAGCGGAGAGTCGGAGACCCCGGCCTCTCCAGGACCTGCACGTCTTTCATCACGCTAAGATTATCCGATTACATGACCAGAGTGCGACAAAAAACTAGGTTTCAAGGTAGGGTTCCCAAAAAATAATTTTAATAATTTAATCTCATATTATATGATAATAGTCAAATTACAGTTTTTATTTTTATATCACTCAATTTGGTAATTATTCAGTGCGCTCATGTTATAAATGGTTAGTTCGCCAGTCATTACCCGATGTTCAGGAATCGAGACTCTGGCTTTACCTTTCGAGAATATCCACGCTGCCACAGGTTCGTATAGGCCCTTCCTGTGGGCTGTCGGCTTGCTCAGGTTGGTGCTACAGGAATATAGTATTGTCTGTATGATTCAGCTGATGAAACTGTCGTGTCACCCATGCGTTGCGTGATTGTCCTATGGTCTGTCCTATATTTTATGATGCAGGTTTTCGTGATGTTCTGATCACTGGTGGCTTTATTTCATTTGGTGCATGGCTGTAGCTTTTGATGCTTATTTTACCAGCCGAACGTTTTATTTTCCTTCTAGTGTTGCTGAAGAAAATTTGGCATTGTCGGAACACGCTCTACCATGAAGATTCTTTGCTCCCAGGATGGCAAGTTATTCTATCGGCTAAAGCACTTCAATCGGCATATATTATTGATGTGACTACTACTGGGGCTTCTTCGGCGTCCATTGTAGTCAGGTTTCGACCCCAACGCTGGTCGAAACAAAATTAATGCGGATGGCGAATGTCCTCGGACACCTGCTACTTCGGCCATTGGTGTAATTCTCCGGAATAGTGATGGTGGAATCGTTGCTAGTCGAGCGATCCGGTTCCGCATTCTCGACACTGGTATTGTCGAAGCTTTGGCCCTCTCCTATGGTGTTCGTTTGGCAGTGGAGCTGGGGCTACATGCAGTAAAGATAGAGAGTGATTCCATTAACACGGTCCAGCATTTCCAAAACATGCATTCGGATCGTTCTGTTGCCCGGTTTTACCTCCACGAAGCTCGACAACTTCTTGATTGCAAATCCCCACACATTACCGTGGGATTCATTCAAAAGGAGGTAAATGGAGCGGCTCATGCTCTCGCCACCTATGCATCTATTTCAGCTGTTCCTGTAAGATTTCAATCTATAACACCCGAATGTTTTGCTCGTTGTATCCTCTGATGCTAATCTATATTAATGAATGCAGTTAATTTCAAATATATATATATATATATATATATATATATATATATATATATATATATATATATATATATATATATATATATAACTTTTAACATTTTCAAAATCATTGTTGGTTGTTAGTTTGTACCCTTAACATTGTTAAAAAGTAAACAATTGTTAATCGATCGATTTGATCAATCTGTAGAAGTTTATGACATTAAATAAGTAAAAAAAATTGGTTCAATGATTACTTAAGAAAAGATGGGTTAGATAAGAAGTAATCCTTTAACTTAAAGTTGGTTCTTTTATCAGAGTCGATGGAAAATAACACAAAATATATTGCACATACACTTCATTTGAAGATATAACAAAACCATTAATCATCGACATCAAACCAGGGGGAATGGGGTTACAAGAATAAGTTTTTTTTTCCACCCAAACCAACCCCCCTTTTTTTCTAATTCCCATCTCGACTGCTACTGTCACAAACAATTAAAAGATGAAAAAAAGGAACCAAACCCAGATTTCCAAACATCACAAAACATCAAATCATGAAGAAAGCAGAGATTTTTTGTTCATGTTTTTCTCACTTTTTAATGCTGCCCCTAACACCAGGACGAGGCTTGCTAGGCTCAACCACATGAGAAGCATGTAGATTCACAAGCTTCGACTCTTCAAATGGAATCTTCGGATGCTTAGCCTCGTGATGAATCTGCATGGTCTTCAAATCCGGAGCCGTTATTTTGCAATGAGGACACTCGAACTTGGCGTGTCCACCTTTTTCCACACCCGAACGGTCGGCTAATCCAGCCTTGCCGCCGCCTCGATTGGTTGTGGCGGCGTCGACCTTGGCGGCTATTTCCTTGGCAGTGTGCTTCTTTGGCTTGGCTTTGCCCGTCATGATTGAAAGGTGATAAAGATGAAAAACCAAAAACCCTAAGTAAGATGTTAGAATTAAGGTGGAAAAAGGGTGAGAATGAGAATATAAAGGCTTTTTCTATATTTTGATGGGTTTTGTGGATTACATGTTAGAATACACATATTTGGGCTTTTAGCTTAGTGGGTTTCATTTAGTGACCCAATTTACATGAGTTCCTTTTCTTTGTGAACTTGCTACAATAAGATACGACTACATAATTTTCATTTCAAATTTAAATTTGATGTTTTTTCGGGGTTATTTTAAAGGGTATATATTTAGGGATGAAAATTTCACCCCGCATCCGATGAGTTTTTATCCGATCTGATCGGGTTATATTTTTTTTAAATCGAGTTCGGGTCGGATCGAGTTGAGTTTTTTAAGGGGTGAAGTCGGGTCGGTTTCAAGTGGAGGGTGAAAAAAATCCGACCCGACCCAAAGATAATAATTTGATTTCCTTAAAAATCTATTATTTTTAATTAAATCCTTAATTTATACCGGATCGGGTTGGACGGGATTTATACTCTAAAAATCGGGTTAAGATAAGAAATCATGTAAAAGGATTTGTAAAGTACTATCCTTGGATGATAAGTTTAGTTTGAGTACAATTGACATGTTATAGAGTTCATTTAACCTAATGTCAAAGTTTAGATTACAATCTTTATTTAACGACAAAAAGATAATTCTAAAATTTTAAATTTTATCGCGTAAATTATCAAAATAAATTTGACTAACTTATGGTAGTTTCATTGTCATTAACTTGTGAGACAAATTCTGATATAAAAAGTAAAGCTCAAACTTGAATCGAGTTTTGATTATCTCAATCAAATTTACATACATTATGAGCTACATATTTGGATTATATGTTTAAAGATAATATTAGAAACATAGTAAGCACGAAACTAATAAAAAGACATTAAATATTAAAACATTATTTAACTATCTATAAAATTTTTAAATATTTAATTAATATAAAATAAGAATATTTAATAAATTTGCAGTTCAAATAATTAGTTATCTGGTTAAAAATATGCAACAAATGGACTAATATGAATAAAGCCTATTATTTCAAGGACAGTTCTATAAAAAAAAATGACGTGAATTGACAAATAATTGAGTGTACATAATATTCCCGAAGAGATTATTACTTGGGGTAATAATGTTTTCCATGAACCAAAAGATTATTACAATTTACTGCTGCATGAGATCATCCAAAAGTATCATCTTCAATTTAGAATCAAATGACTTTGAGCCATTAAATACAGATTTGGGGGATTATTAATTTATTGTTTATGTACAAAGGCCATTCCCAAATCTGCACCTCAGCCTATCCTACTTTTTTTATTTGATTCAATCAAAAGAATTGCAACTTTTTATTGTGATTACCAAAATGAAAGGAAAGCTCTGGTGAAGCCATGCCAGAAAGTCCCTGTAGCATCTTCATCTCTTGCTCTCATTTTTACCACCACATTCTTCCTTTTCATTATTTTCTCCACCCAAGCAATGAAGGTACCCCCATTTCATAAACGGTTCCATACCTGCTAAAACAAAAACAGATAGGTTAATACAATAATTACTTAACCAAGGCCTAAAAGTATACAGCTTGATCCTAGAACTCCACTAAGATATATGAAATTGCAGACAACACTCTGAGGATACGTGGCATTAAACCACTTGTGCGAAAACTTAATTACAACCAATCAAACCCAATGGCCTCGGTGGTTAAATGAGAGTGTTGTTCTCCATTGAGGTCCTGGGTTCGAGCAGCTGCGTCTGCATGTTGTATGCTTGTTGTCAATGATTAACTAAGATTATGAACAAATATTACCTTATAATCACCCTGGACTATTCAAAAAAACAATTACCCCAATCTTTCTCCCACTCATGCACAAAGCAATAGATGCAACCAAGTTTTAACCTATATTGGCTTTTCTATGCATAAAAAGTGATGTGTATATCACTTAGCAATTTGCAAAAGAAACAGCATAGATAGATATTACGAAGTGAAATTGCAAGAGAAGGAACCTTCAATTTTGGAGAAACTCGTGTTGAAGCAAGCACCATCTTATAAATAACATGATCTAGGATGAAAATTTTGCAATAGCCTGCTGATAGATTGATGATGACGATGTACTTGCATGGTCAACAATGGGAAGGCAAGGATCATAAAGGTCATCATCCTTTATCTCCTGCTTAATCCCATGGAACCTCGCTCCATTCTCTTTTAACTGTTGCCCTGGAAGGAAAGCATGAGTTGGAACTGTCGATTTTCCACCATTATTCATATCAAAACCAGTCAATGATAGATTTGCAGGTGTTGAGAGATTCAAAGGCAAAATTGGAAAATTTGGAACTGCAATTGAGCCAGATGAATGAGTTGCAATGCAGTTTGGGTTCAGTCCAAAAGAGCTATAAGGAATAGCTTTCTGTATGGAAGGAAACTTCATTTGGTAAACGGAAGAGAGAGAAGCTGCACCAAGCTTCATATCATTACTGAAATCCCCAAGAAAACTAGGCCTCACATATTCACTTTTAAATTCAGGCTTTCGATCAAAAGGTGGTGCAAAATCTTGGATTGGCATTTCAGGCTTTATAGCATGGGCACTTCTGGATAATGAAAGGGAGGCTTGAGTGTTGGGGCCGGTAGGGGGAAAATTACAACCACTAGAGTTAGCATGACTGCTATTTCTGGCTGCTGGAACTTCATGATTGTGCTTTCCATCATATGTTGTGAGCACACATTTAAGGTTATGGGAAGCTCTTTCCACATGCTTTCTCACAGGACATCCAGGACTTGTGCATTTATAGTAACTCCTATAAGATGGACAACAAAAAATCTCAACAGGTTTTATATATGGAAGCATGAAGCTCGATATTTCTTCTCTGTGCTTTGAAATAAACAAGGATATAACTAATAAAGCTATCAGCGAAATGATGGTAGAAGCATAAACATAAAATTTACCCCTGCATCTTTAGATGATTCTTTCGATTTCACATGCAAAAGAAAGACAGCTGACAAGTTTTGGTACCTAGGATTAGGGTTTCCCTTGACAACCTTCTGTCCATACTTCCTCCAACGATAGCCATCATCGAGTATGTCCACATCACTTTCTATTTGCACAACTACTCTTGGTTCACGGGAAGTCCCAGATGCCACATTCATCTCAGTGATGCAGCTCTCTGTCTTCCTGCAATGAAGGTGGATTAAAAAAATAAATACAAGTTGGTAAAAGTTAAAACAAATCCTCATGCATGCCAATACAAAAATGTACCTTCTTTTTGATTCAGACTCATCGTCATTAGCTGTATCATCACAGAGTGATATACTTCCCTGGGTTGGCCTATCATCATTATCATCATCGTGACTAGCAAGTGTTGATGAGAATTCAGGAGTTTCAGCTGATTCAAACAAACCAACAGATTTCCCTTGGGCAGTTGATAGCCGATCAGAAATATCAGTTACAATAGATGCTGATAATGTTCTTTCCAGACCATCAGCTTTCGAATCAGATCCAAGCTTCATATCCTTTGAACCAGCTTGGGAATATCTCCAAATTAAACCACCTTCAACTTTGACACAAGTTCCAGTGCCTTCTGCACTCTCTAACATTTCCTCAGATGATAAAGTGGACCCAAGTGATGGCCGACGACAAAGCTGAGGCATTGAGTGATTATGAGCACCCTTGTAGATGATTTCAGTAATTTGGCCATCAAGTGAGCGTTCTACCTTCTTCTTCACCTGACAATTTGGATGGGTACATTTATAATAGCTTCGTGGATATTCACTTCCTTTTACCTGTTTCTGTCCATACTTCCTCCAATTATAACCATCTTCTGATGTTCTTGCTGTTCCTATAGCAATGTTTCCACCCTTCTGATCGACTTCCAGCATGCGTACATCTTGTCCATTAAGAGGTTCTTTCTGAAAAGATGTTCGATCACTACCAAACTCGGAATGATGGAATCCCAAAATAGAGTTATTGTTTACAATGTTATTTAAAATTCCAACATCAACAACTGAATCTGCTGCAAAACTCCTCGAGATAGCTTCTTTTGGAAAATATGCAGAAAATTTCAAATCCATATGGACAACAGGTTGATAATCAACCTCAACATTTTGAACAAGATTGAAAGAGGAAGAAACCTGCATAAACAAAAATTGATCACTAACTCAAATAGCATTTTAGATGTAAACCTAATTAAGCATGATGCCAGTGACATGAAGTGTATCTTTTATATTTAGAAAAATACTTAAATTAAAGGGATAATATAGACGAGAAAATGGAGACTTGAGGATACTGTGCAAGAACTGTTGAGAAAGATTTAGGTATATTATGTATGTCTGGGGTTCTTAGTTATATATAGTGTTTAAATCTAGGGCAAGAATAAAACTTTATTTGCAAGAAAGCTTAATGACTTTACTTGCAGAACTGTGAAATATTCACGGCCATAACTATTCTTATTATTTTCTTTGAATCAATAGGGTAACAAGAGGTTTTTATGAACTTAAGTTTCTAAAGTTGCATATCATTTCTTACTCGTTTGGTAAGCCCCAATTCTATTGATTCACTGCTGTTTTCACCCCTTAAGCCACATCAAAATCTCAAATGAACAGAATCTAACAACAAGGAAGGCACTAATCTCATGGAAAGCTGTAGAAATCTACCCAAAAGAAAATGCCACCAGTTCAATGTACATTAAAAAGAGGCTGTTGCAATATCCTTCTTGAGCTGTAAACCTAGTCAGCTTAACTGGTTTTGACAAACAAAATTGAAAAACATCAAAGATAACAAAAAAAAAAGGAAATGGAGAAAAGTAATTCACAATGAAGAACACTAAATAGAAAATAGAGAAAGTAAAGTTGAAATGAATTTGAGTTGCAACCGAAGGCTGGAAAATAAGACATAGAATTCATAATTCATAAATATACAAGCCAAGTTTTGGTAAGTCATTGCCAATGCAATTTGAATGTATACAAATGTGAAGGATTAGAAACAAATCAAGTTTAGTAATCTAGCAGCTATCAGCAGAAATTTTAACTTTATGACAAAGTAGAACCGGGATAGAAGGAAATCACCTGATCTTCTATACCGGAAAAACTTGGTTGAGAATCCATATTCCATGTCTTTAATGTGAAAGAAGAAACTATACTGTTGTCTCTATCACGCTTGATATGATTCACCACTTGACCATCATGATTGTGAAATGTTCCAGTGGTGGGAGATGTCTATGCCAGAAACAGAAGTCATTAGAGACCATACTAGTGAATAAACTACAGAGCTGAACATCAGCAGAAATTTTAACTACAGCACTTTTTTCAGTACCAATTTAAGTTTAAGCTCAATTGAGGGGCTTTTAATAGTTTATTTCATATAGTCCATTAGCAATTTTTTATCCTAATTTCTAGTTTCCTTCTGCAGCTGATTTATATAACCCCATACACCATGAATTCGATATTACATTCCATGATATAAAATTTTTGTACAATTTAGATGCCAAATCCTTGAATTGCATCAAAATGCATGTAAGATAGGCATAATCCTGACTAAGCCAAAGGGCTATTGGTTATTTGTTACATTCCTTTTCTTATTATAAATTTTCTTTCTTCCTGTTCTCAGTATGCTAAAAGTAAAACCAATCACAAGCAATAGTGAAATGAAAAATCATATTCCATTAGAAATAAACGAATAACTAAAAGGCGACACCACTCATTTTTAATAAATCAAACTCGATATTTCATGTGTAGAGCCTTAAATTTGGCATTTCCACTAACAAAAGAAGCATTAAAGATGATGTTCTGGCATTCACAATAAAATACTATATATTTATAGTAAAGCTGTGACAGTCATAATCAATGAAAACAAAATGATTAATCAAACAGGAATAGTAGGTACCTGAGCATTTGGCAACATTACAGGAGAATCCAACAAAGCAGTAGGGCTGATCCCAGGAGGAATAGTGAGGTAAGGCGAGCAGGGAGATGGGGGATCCAGTGCGCTCAACCTGGTTGAAGTTATCGCCTCGGCGTTGAAACCGGTCGTCGCCGCCCTCCTCTCGGCAATGGTGGCGCCGCGTCCTCCGCCGTTTCCGAGGGGTTTGTCATCGTCGTCGTCGGCGGTAATGGATTCATGGGTCACATTGTTTTCCATGAAAATAGAAATGAGAAAAGAGAGAGAGGGGTTAAAGTGAGGGAGCAGTGAATTGGGAATGAGGCATTCGGCTTCAGCTCCAGTGATTGGGCGAGGATGGAGCTGAAACTTTTCAAGTTTGGGTTTTGGAAACAAAGGGAGAGAGAGAGAATTTGAGGACGAAGACACATATCAAATAGAGAGAGAGAGAGAGAGAGAGAGAGAGTTTTTAAAGTTTCTGCGTCCGGTTTGTTTGTTAGATTGTTGTGTTGTTTTGTCTACTTGTCTTGTCCTGCCATTTACAAATTTATTTTTTATCCTAAATTATTTACTCATAAAACAATTTCTCTTAATTCTTGAACAACTTCTAGATTATTAAGTGTACCAGATTTGCTTTGGTTTAATAACAAAAATAGTCCCTAATATTTATACAAATTGTCTTTACCTCTTATTCTTTTTGGAGCATTTTAGGTACATAAAAATTATTACTTGACTAATGATTAATATATGTTGTTGACGTAATTTTTTCACATATGTTTAATTAATGATATAAAATATGTCATATCATTATTTTGATGATGTGACATGTATGTATGTAACATAGGCAAAATCCTAACTAAGTAATATATGTTGAATGTTAATTAACTAATGGATTTCATAATTTTGACCAAAATTAAAGTATTGAGATTAAAATGTTCAAAAGAATAGAAAATTAAGTGCTCATTTGCACAAAACGTTGAGGAGTAATTTATACTTATACCTTTTATTTTCTATGTTTCCAAAAAAAAGTAGAAACTATGATTTTGTTACTTTGGTTTTTAAATTTTATGTAAAAAAAATCCCAACAAATGAAGTTAAGTTCATCTCATCAGTTTTATTTGTTTTATAATAATATTAGAATCTCATCTTAAATGTTAGAGCTTTCATTTGCACCATTAAATTTAATGACATCATTTTTATTTACATTTTTGAGGGAACATGTTTGTAAATTAATACCCTACCGAAAATATTAATATTTTTTAATATTTTTGATAAAACGTTACCTAAAACATTATTTTTTTTTATCGGAAATGTTAAATTTGTTACCTAACTTCCGGTAAAAAAATAACATTTTAAGTAAAGTATAATATTAACATTTTCGGTAGAAAAAAATAATGTTTTAGGTAGCACTTTACTGAAAATATTAAAAAATATATTAATATTTCCGATAACGTCTTTTCTTAACCGTATATTAATACTATTGTATCTTAAACATCCTCAAGCTATAACCATTGATGATATTAAAAGTTACCAGAAGCAGTTATTTATTTGACACGTAAACTAGTAATATTACGTGATAATCAAGGACACGCTGCGAAAATCAGCCTCACAACCTTTACCGATAATATAATTATATATCTAAAATACGTATAATTTATAAACGAGAGATACTCGTACTTTATATTAAATAAATAAAATAATCTTTTTATTTCATCTTTTAACTATGTCACCGGAATTTAATCTCCATCCACCACAATTAAACACATTATGTAATCAATCGTTTATATCTCGAATCGAAAGAAACCATTTGTGACAAAAGGGTTAATCGGCCATCCACATCGTTAGATGTTAATATTGATAACCGTAGATGGTCATCATTCGGTTTTATATTTTATTGATCGCTTTGTTAGGATTTTTTTTAGTTTGAAATTGATTTATATTTTGTTAGAATGTGTTTCAAAGTCCACGAATAGAATATTAAAAGTAGAAATCGAAACGTTTTAGTTTAAATTTATGAGAAATATTTTTCGATGAAATATTTGAGAGAAAACACCCATTGATTCTAAAGCCGGAAGTGATGGACGGTAACGATAAGCAATGATGATTATTTTAAGTATTTTTAAATCTAACAATATTTAAAAGATATATATTAGAAAAAATACTAATAAGAAAATAAAAAGTGATAAAAAAATGTTTAATATATTAAATTTAGTGAATAAATTAAAATAATTAACAGTATAACGAGTGAAATAAAAGAAAAAGTAAAGTTAGTTGACTAAATTTATAGTTTAGCCTAAACAATTGTAGAAATAGCTTAAGAATGGAAGGCAATATTTGTTTAATATTACAATTATTACTTTTATTTTATTTTGGTTGTTTAGTTGTTATTACGTTTTAATTTTATTTTAGTTGTCTTATGTTAAAAATGTAATAGAATTTTGGGTGATATTTTTAAATTTTTCTCATCTATTAATTTGAGATTTTCTTTTAAAAACAAAAAATATGGTTCAAGGAATTACCACTTATCTTTGATTAGGGTGTGATTGAATACCCAAAAATTACATGAAGTCACATTTAAATATCTGAAATGGTTTGAATCTAATATAAAATAATTAAAATTAGAATTGATTTAAATTTGATTTAATCCAAACTTGAAATAATCCAGATTTAAAAACCATTTGAATCTGAAAAAGATCGAACTCCAAATGGTTTGATCCTGGCATAACTCGTACATGAAATGATCGTAAGTTAAAATCAATCAAAATATGAAGTGATCCGAATACGAAATCAAGTTGACCTGAATCTGCCCAAACCCAACCTTTGACCACATCTGCATCACCGAGGTTCCTTTTGAAGCTTCTTGTGAAGGCCCATTTGAGCTCTTGCAAAGCATTCAAAGCCTTGATAGTCTTCAAAGTGTCTACAATCGTTGCAATGGCAATAGGGGATTACATGTAGGGAAAAATCCGATCTTTTCAGAGTTTAAATGAGAAATTGATTCAAATATCGTTGAGAAAAACATGGAACCAATTGTTGTACAGTACAGGTTGTATCTTTGGGTAATGTTTGTAAACAGGTCACATGCTTCTTCCTTGTTGATTGCAAAAGGTTTTGGAACACCCATGGACAATAAAACATCACACTTTCTGGATGTCAACAAGATCTTGCACCCCATGTTTTCACCTCTACTGGGAATTCCAAGAGCTTCCAATTCCAATGGCACCAAAATGTCATCTAAAATAACAAGAACCTTCGTTTGTTGAAGTCTACGATGGAGCCGGATTCTCTTTTCATCCGAGTCTAGGCACGGATCATCGAAGCCAAGGCCGAACTTTGCCGCAATCTCCGTCTGGATTTTTTCGATGGTGGGAGTTTGTGATACATTGGAAACGACCACATTATCAAACAATTTCCCCTCGGCAAACCTAGCAATATCATCGGCCAATGTCGCCATACGTGCTCCATACACCCCAACTATGATATGGTCATCATTTTAAAGGCCTCCATGATTCTACTTAAACCATTAACGGGTCTGATACATACACTTCGTGGAGCAGGGAGATAAGAAATGGATCAAATCGGCCTTTCTCCAAGAGTTGAGCAATGGCGCCTGCCTCCTTCCCAGCTTTCTTGCTGAGCCAGTAACGTTCTTGAAGTCCGGACAGAGGCCGACGAAACGCCTTTCGTTTGCTCTCTCTTCGTCCTCCTTTAATTTAGATTCGGCCATCTCGGAGATCTTGTGATCAACCGTATTCAACCATTTGTCGACATCTTGGTAGATCTTCCGGCCTTGCCTTCTAGCAGCATCAACGGATTGCTGCAGTCTGTGTCTTACATCTCTAAGGTCTTCGACTCCTTCCTTTAGATTATCAAGGTTGGTTTTGTAGTTGAGCACGTAAGTTACCTCATGTTTGATGACATCGAATGCTAACTCCCCAGCTTTTCCACCAATCGAACTGATTACAGCTTCCATTTCTTCTGCGTTGAAGGTTACCCATGACTGGTTGTAAACTAAATAGTAATGATATGGTCAACAGTCATAATTTCGTCTTCCAAAACGTGTGTGAACAACGAAATTTCGAAGGTTGCCTCTGACAATTGTAATTCTTTACTTTTTCAATGGCTTAAAGTAAAAATGAGTCCTTAAACTATGTCATCTTTTTGTTTTAAGCCCCTAAACTATTTGTTGGTCAAACTAAGTACTTAAATTATTATATTTAATCATTTTAAGTCATATCAATTTTTCACTTAGAAAAATGTTTTTTCAGCCAATAAGATGTTGACACGTCACGCAAAAATTTGGTACTTGTTTTGACAAAAAATAATTTAGGGGCTTGAAGCAAAAAAGAGACATAGTTTAGGAACTTATTTTCACCAAAAATAGTTTAGGTACTTAAAGTGATTACATATAATAGTTTAAGGACTTATTTTGATAAAAAAAAATTAGGGTGTAACACTTTAATCCGCTCCGACCCGAAGATCAAAGGGCTAAAGCATTATACGTGACCACCGAAGTGGTTGATCCAAGAATTTCTTTCAAAGCATGGTTAAAACAGAAATCCATACGATAAATATGAGTTTATACTTTTAAATACATCGTTTACAAAATAGGAGCTCACATAAGTGAAATCAAAATACATAGGTTTAATAAGTAAAGTTTATGATTCAAATACAAATAAAGTCTCTGTGAAGTGCATGTCAACTAATATGTATCCAAGATGTACTTTGATCGAAAGATCCAAGCTGGAATTCACGAACTGGCAATAACTCTTCGATCTGTCCCCATAAGAACCTATGAACAGAAACAAATTCCAAACTCGAGCTCACAAGCTCAGTACTCGAGCTCACAAGCTCAGTGCCACACAAATAACTTTAACATACTATATGCATTCATCACATAGGCATGTAAACAAGTATAAACATGAACATGCAATCACATTGACACACAAAGGTAAGCATCATGATGTAGTAAGAGGATCACATAGCATCTCGGGATTCACACCCCTTTATTCTACCTAAGGTACCCTAGATAATACCTAGGTCACATAACATTAGAATCTTCATCTAGAAAGGCCCTCATTGCCAAGTACCTAAGACGCCTCCTGAGTCACATAGTATCAGAGCATATGTCCAACTAGCAATTAAAGTGCATAAAGATTGACTTAACACATCCGAATGTGTAACCACATAAGACAATCGTCTTACATCTAAAGTAATTCGAGTTTCTTGATTGTTTCTCGAATGTCACACAAGGGCTAGTTTTATGTCACCTTAATTTACGCCGTTCTCAATATAATGATGTTTATTAGTTGTTCTCTCTTGTTGTCTTATTAGAGAAGTCCCAACGACACCTAATTCCCTTTTTGAACACCTGAAATTAAATTGGGTTTCTTACTCAATCTAAGACAAGGGTACC